AGCCAGAGGCGTTTTGGTCTTCATATATTATCTTACTGTAAAAGGTTGTCCATTTTACTAAGTGCCTTAATGGCACGCTGGTTTATTACTATGACCCTGCAGTAATAGCCAGAGATAAAATCTCCAGCTAAAACTGATGTCCACAGTGAGTGTGATCTCTTCTGAGGGCTGCTCAGGACTTTACAGAGCACATTCAAACTTTTCCCTATTTATCCTCATTGCAGCAGCCCTTTGTGACAAGTTGGAGAATATTTTATAATTTCCACCTAATTATGTTTTCCCTGTATCTTTCTGCCTCTAAAGAACTTCAGTTTTTGTCACTAGACATTAAAAAAATAACTTCTTAAACAGAAGCTTTTTTTTCTTCTTTCGAGTGGGACTTGCAATTTGAAAATCCCAAGCGAATTTGTGTCATCTTCCTTGAAGAGCAAGGTGAGTTTCCTGCTCAGTTCTATGTCTGTTTATATTGTGGTAATCGACGACATGGTAGGGAAAGAATAAAGGGGGGGTGGGGTGGCGGCAAATGTTTTCCCATGGAATTTTCAGTTTAATAATGTTCCAGCTTTTAACAGTCTCACACACCCATACTGTTTAGTGGTAGTCTGCATATTAAAACACCCTCTGTTAATTAAGAAAATGGTGGCTGGGTGGTGGGAGGGTGACCAGAAAGATCACCTATATATCTGTCTAACAAGGGTACAAGTGAACTTTTCTAGAACTAGAATATAAATGTTTTGACACAATGACTAAGCAAATGACATGAAATTTATGTGAACCAGCTTGATGAAAGTATTTCAAAATGTATATGAAAACACTACACTGTACCCCATGTTTGCATTAATGCATACAGCTACCATTTAATAAAAAATAAAATAAAATAAAATAAAATAGAAAGAAAATGGTGACTTTATTCAAATAAGAGACGAAGGTATTAGTCTCAACATTTAAAATCCCTGTGCATAGGAGAGGACTTAGAAAACAGTGGGCTCTCAATAAATGTTTGTTGAGACAATGAGAGAACATAAAAAGGAAAGGGAAAATGAGTGAGTAAATAAATAAATGAGCAGTGAATGAACAGGGAGCATATTATAAAGTATATGGTCGTGCATTACAGAAGCACAGTCTCTTGCATAACTCTGCAGAAGTGATTGATGAAAGGTTTTAGACTTTTAGAAATAAGGAATCCACAATAAGAAATATAATTTACGGCTCGGCGCCTATAGCTCAACCGGCTAAGGCGCCAGCCACGTACAGCTAAGGTGGCGGG